CCATAGCTGCCAACTTGGCCTTCTTTTCCGCCGACTCCCCCGCAGTCAAGGCCGCCGCCTCAAACTCGGCCTGGAGCAGACGGACCAACTGGCAAACAGTGCCAACTGTCGGGTTGTGGTCGATTGAAACCCGATGACGGAAGGAGTTAACTCGGAAGGCAATGGCCGGATGCTCTGTAAGCAAATCCGCTGCAGCTTGATCGATGCCGCGGAGCAGCAAGCTTGCGTCTGGCAGGCTGGCGCGCAACTCCTGGATGCGCAGGATCCACTGCTGCCACTTCCTAAGAATGGTACAGGCTTGGCTCAGCTGCTTCATGGCATCAGGAGCTACCACAAAGGACAGTAACATGGACCGTTCACTCGCCCCTCCCGGTTGGTACACACACTGGATGCGAAAAATCAGCGCCTCAGATGAAAGCCAACGGTTGCTCACTGCCTCATCGCGCAAGTTTTGCGGGATCGATGCTAGGATGAGTGAGACCGCTCGGGATTCTACCCTCTGATAGCGAATGCGATCAAAGTTGGCTCTGATGACTCCTGGATCCAACGCAAGTCGATCGATGGGCTCGGACATGAGCCACCGATTGTACTGGTTGGTCGCCGCTGCCTCAACCGCTCCCCACCAGTCTGGAGCAGTGGGACTAAGGCCTAAGAGCACCTGTCTGACTTGCGCCAGCCAGTTCCCTGCCATCACCGCGCTAGTCTTCAAGTCGGGCTGCCCAAGTTTCGGCAACTCCGAAATGTATTTCGCTGGTTCTTCGGGTCTCTCGGGGGCTGCTACCGGGGTTGACGGATGATACCCTGCACCTACGTGTGGGGCAAAACCTGCCATCGGAGCCGGCGGCGTTCCCGGCGGAGGCCCCGGAGGGGGTCGGATCACTGTTCCACCCGGGCTCACTGGATACCCGAGATTCCCCGCAGCATGGCTCCTTGGTGTGGTAAACCCTGAGCTTCCCACCCCTAGACCCGACGGAACCCCCGGCATTGATCCAACCCCTGTTAGCGAATGCTGCGACGGCGCAGGCACTTGCAAGGAAGGAGGACTCACAGGAGGGCTCACGTCCTGAATTGCAAAGTTGGGCTGAGCATTGGACTGAGAAACCATGGCACTCTGTTGAGTACACGGGCTCAACAATGCAACACTCTGCTGAGCACACGGGCTAGGCGATGCAACATTCTGCTGGGCACACGGGTTAGCTAACGCAACACTCTGCTGAGCACAGGGCTGAGCCCACGAGTGGTTCGAAGCTAAAGGACTCGGCTGAGCCCCGACTCTCGCCTCCGGCAAAGGAGGCACTGCTACGGACTCAGGAACCATCCATCCTAACCCCGAGATAAAAACCCTACCCGAACCCAACCCAGTAGTCACCGCACTTCCTTGAACTGCCCTGTCTTCCCACCTACCTAACCCTCCCTCGGCTCCACTTGCGAACGTCATGCCTCCTGACACAGGAGAGCTCAAATCTACCAAGGGGCTTGAAGGAACTGCTGGCCTAAACGAATACGGAGATGGATCTGCCTGAACGAACTCCTCAACAGCAGTTTGCAGCGATCGTCCGCTTGACCCTGGGTCACGACCATCCAGCTTCCGCTGCAACATTCGGTTCTGCGCGATCAAGAGCTCCACTAGCCCGGCCATTCGAGCTGTCTGATCCTCCTGTTGAAAACCCGCCGGCGCATCCAGCAGTAATTCCGGTTCGTCTGGCTCCTGCGCAGCGGTCACATGTGGATCCACCTCGGAGTTCATAGGTGGTGCACCACCAGAAAAACTAAGGACTGTTGCCCCACGAGTCGGCTTAGAGCCGTCCGAAGGCGATTCTTGCTGATGTCTGCTACCTTCTCCTTCTTCTACAGATACGCGGGCCACTGTAGAATACGGTGGTTCCAAGTCTTGTTGCGCCGCTGCGGCCTCACCAAGGTCTGGAGGAATCGCCACCTCCTCTCCACGGCCCGCCACCAAAGCTGCATCTCTGTCCAAGCTCTCAGGCCTGGCATTCAGCAGATCAATTTCGTCACGGACTCGTTCTGAGTGAAAGGGGCTCGCCACGACTGCTCCTCTAGCCTCAGCCTCTGCTGGATTCTGACTCAAGGCCGTCTCCCCATCAAGAGCGTCAGCAGCCTCGCCCCCGGGGGACGAGCCTGCTGACCTCCGTCGATTCTCTAAGGTCTCCATGGCTCTTCAGGCACACCGTCCCTGAACACTAACCCAGACCGAACTACCTACGGCTGATAACCTG